AGGCAAACAAGACACACATTTGAAGGACAAAAATGAGTGTGTGGGGGAGTCCAGTTGCCTGAGTCCAGCTAGAGGGTCAGCTGGTGGTCATGTCTTCTTGATAACCTACTCTAACAATTAGTTTTCATGATAATACTGAAGGTGATAGCTCTGCATAGGGGAAGTGTGGTACAAAAAATGACAATTGGGGCGCCTGGGTGGCTTAGTCGGTTAAGCGTCCGACTTTCGCTTAGGTCATGATCTCACAGTTCGTGGGTTCGAGCCCCGCGTCGGGCTCTGTGCTGACTGTCAGCTCAGAGCCTGGAGCCTGTTTCAGAGTCTGTGACTCCCTCTCTCTTTGACCCTCCCCTGCTCACGCTGTCTCTCTCTCTCTCCTAGAAATAAATAAAACATTAAAAAAAACCCACAAGATTTCAGAGTACAAGAATTGCAGGGTACAAAATCAACATATAGATATCGGTTGCATTTTTATACACCAACAATGAAGCAACAGAAAGAGAAATCAAGACACTGATCCCATTCACAATTNGACAATTGTATCTCTTGTATATGACCTAGAATTCTTGTGACAGTTGTTCTTTGGTTTGTTTTTAGTATTATTTTTTTCATCTTTGATTCACTCATTCAGTTGTTACTCAAAAAAAATAGCAACACTGAAAACAGTCACATTCCCTTTGGGAATAATAGTGTATGATTGACAAGCCAGTCTGCCATTGTGGTTTAGTAACAATGTTACAACTGCTCTGTATCTTTCACAGTTGTGACTCATTCAGTACCTGCTATGGCTCTGCCGTTTCTTTCATTACATGTTAGCTTTTGGGTAAATTTTGTCATTTTTTTTCTCTAGCCATGACTAACCCAGTGTGGCTGTCTAGAAGCAATCATCCTTTCATAATCGATAGGTTGGCTTTGTTCCAGGACATTAGTTGGTGTCCTTTTTTGCAATAAATATGTTATTACTCTTGGATCATATTGATGAAGTTTGATTAGAAATTCAGGACCCTGTCAAGTAAAGAAGGGTTTCTGTGGGGTTGAAATAGAATGTGTTACCCAGGAAGCCTTAGGATAGACATAAACTCTATTAAGAACAGATTAGAGTCACACTGTGTGTGTTAAAACCATGTGCCATATCAAAGTTACAAGAAGATAGGAGTGTCTGTTGGATTGAAAATGTATGGGGACAATCAGTCTAGTATGTGTATGTGTTCCACAAATTCATATCTGTGTCAGATATAAGGTTTTAGAAACTTTATAACAATTCTCCACAGTATATATGTCAGCAATACTACTACCTGTGAATAGAAGAGAGAATTATTTCAATAAGCTCACCTCAGGTTAGTTACCTAAAACATAAGTTAGTGATTAAGAAAACATTTTTGACATCTTACCTTTAGGAAGGATGTGTGCTAATTTCTTTTCTCATAGTATTTTTAGGTACTGCCCAAGATGATTTATTTAGAACTAGAAATTTAACTACATGACTTAAAGTCGTAGAGGCAATCACTGGGATATTTCAAATGAGTAGGATGTAGAAGGGAGAGAGGGAGAGGAGAGCAAGGTAGGCACCCAAATTATTCATCTCTCATGATGAGGAGAAAAGGGAGACTCTCAGGCATTTCTGAACAAAGAGGAATATATAAATATGTTGTGGTGATAGTAACGAGTAAAATAACTAAAAATAAAAATGTTGAAATACTTATTTTGGGAGTATAAGGCTGGAGGGTCATATCTGGGGGCAAAAAAGGCCTTACCTTTTTACTCTTAACTTCCATATCATTCTAATTTCTTTTTTTTTTCATGTTGATCCTTATCTTTAGAAAAGATACTCCCCTTTGGCATTTCCATTTTCTAGTCTATCTATATCTTTTATAATCATAAGCAGCTTTACCCAAATCTCAAATAGCTTAAATCTCCCCATCTCTCTATAAGAATGAGCCCTCTCATATGACTTCTAGAGCATTTCACGATCTCCTGGGTAAGACTGTCTATAGGGTGCCTACGCTGTCATCTTGAGGGGTTATTGTAGCAAAATAGTTGTTACAGAATATGCTTCCAAAGGACAGAACAAAGATCTATATGCAAACATAGGAATATAGGAAAAGTCAGAGTTGTTCAAAGATGGAATGAATAATTTCTGGAGGTTCTGAGAGGCTCAGCTTAGGGTAGGTGGCATTAGCATCATTCATATAGTAGGCAGTGAGATGAAATTGTGACTGTATTTCTACCTTACTGAAGTGTAGAGTATATGCATAAAACCTTTTTTTCTTTTAATGTGTAGAAGAGGCTACATATAGTCCATAGGCTCAAGGGTAGTTTTTTTTTCCATATATGATCTATAGATGCCCTGATGAGAATCAACTTCAGTGTTTGGAAATTTCTGGACCCCAAAATATACATGCTGCCTCAGAATCTTTTGAGTCCTGGGAGTCTTAACTTTTAATAAGCTCTCTAGGTGGTTCTGGTGCCCACTAAAGTGTGAGAGTCTCTGCATGTAAAACAGAAACAAGTACAAAATTTGTGCCAGATAAGTATGTTTCAGGAATGGGTTTTTATGTGACCATGACAGTCTGTGAAGTAAGTATCCAGGTAGAAGATGGCCAATGCCAAGAGTTTTTAAAAAATTGTGTTCATTTTGGTTTTGTAGTTTTATCTCTTCTCTTCATTTTATTTTTCTTTCACTTCATGCTATAGCAATAGTGATGAATGCTAATGAGGCTATAGTTAATCCAACCCCAGGCACTCATTTTCAGGTAATTATTTGAAACCAGAACAGCACTTAACAGCACTGACTTACCTGTTTTGGGAGATTAACTAATTAAAAGCTCAATCAAGACAGGTTTTTCCGCCCCACCCCTGAACTGGTTAAAAGGAAGGAATGAAGAAAAGAAGCAAATATTCTGCCCTCTAATGTTTTTCTGCCATCATTTTATATTATTAAAATATGGAATGTATTTCTTATTTCTCTATTTCCAAAAAATAGAGAATATAGAGTGTATTTTTTATTTCCTATTTCTGAAAAATAGGATGGCATATTAATATGAAATGGTGGGGGAGGCACAACTGAAAAATGAGTCAAATTTATCCAGCCAGAATTATTTTAAAAGATGGAGTACAAGAGGGCAATATTTTAGACAAATTATCCAGACGATTAAGAGAAAACACATAAAAGTTTTGAGTTTCATTAACTAGGTATATTTTTTATACTGTCTCAAGCCACTATACTTGTAGATATAAATTTTAGTCAAAATTATCATTGGCCTAATAAGACAGACTCATGAGATATATACTACAGTATATAAGAAATCACTCCATTGGTTGGGTATAAACAAATGCCACTATATTGTCATTGATACAATGAGAGAGGATTTTTTTTTTTTTTTGAGATGACCATCAAACCAAACTTCAATATATTTTCTACAGTCTTACACTTGGCCAGGTGTGTATTGAAAATGTATCTTCCTAAGAGCTCTTGCTGCACTTGGGTGCCCATTTCCTTTTGGAGCTGTGTAGTGATATATCAAAATCATCTTTGTAAAGAAAGATCCATTTCAAATGACGGTGTCCTATCTTTAAAAGTTTTCAGCCACCTAAACATTCTAAGAAAAGATAAGATACCTGCTATGAGCAGCAGGATTTTGGCTAAATCTTACACATTATTAATCTTATGATGCTCACTCATATACTCTGGGTAGTTTGGTTACACTCTTCCTTTCCATATGCACTTTTAAACCGTGTAATGTTGCTGCACTCTCTCCTCAGACGTGGCTGTGATATCTTTGGGTGTGAAATGATCCTGTTCATAGTTTGATGTCATCTTGTTAAATTTGGAAGTGATTAGGGCTCTTTGGTTTGAGAAACATTTTAAGATATGACTATTGCCATTCATGAATTCAGATTCATCCATGTAGATTATCCCTCCTTTTTTCTTTTGAAATGAAAAGATGAGGGGTTTTTAAATTATTCTTAAGATGTTATGTGCTGTTCAGTAGAATCTGAAATGTAACTGAAATAAATATTCATCTAATCTATAGGATTTGCACACAGTTTTGCTCACCATTTCAATTTCAAACTTTCATTATCTGCAGCTAGCACTGACACTTTGGACTAGCTCATTTCTCCCCCTGCCCCACCTTTGATAGAGACAACAAAAGATATAGGCCCTTTTTATATTTCATCACAATGTTTAGGCTTAGTAAAAAATCTTATAATATATGTATTCATTCATGCATGCTTGTCTCATGGGATAAGGTAACCCTATCATTTTCTTCAGTTCTTTTCCTTTTCTTGTTGATATTCTGAAGCTCTCCTTTTTATTTCTAAATTCATTTTTTTCTAGTACATCCAGTTTTCTCCAGCATTCCTATGAACAGCTGTGGGTGGTGATGGGAGATGTATTGAGATAGTGCTTCTCCACTCTGCGCATCCCCCTGAGTGGCTTTATAGAACATGGGAAAATACAGTATAACTATGGCAGATGGACTTTCAAATAGCATTCACTGAGGTCTTTCCCTTTTATATCAAGAAACATGAGCTACATACCCTACTTAGTATGCTGACATTTCACAATTGATATCCTCATATATTTTCCCTTTCACTTGATAGGCAGGGATGGGAATTGAGGTGCCCTTTCAAGCATAACATGCTTTCTTTTTTTTAGCATCTGTGAATGTTGACTACAACAAACCTATCTGACTGAATTCTACTTGTTTTCTAAACTCTTACATTATACACCTAATGTTGTACCTCCCAAGTGTTGGAAAAATGCTGAGTGGTTCTCTAAGAGTTCATTACCAGTTTGGCTCAATGATAGCTATATTACAATGCATATTTAATTAGAAAATTGTTAAGAAGTAATTTTTATGCCATCTTTTATTTCTTTTTCCCTCCACTAGTTTGACTACTTGTATTTTATGGATTTAAAAATGTCACAGATATTGGTGCTAAAAGAACTCTTGAACAGTTTGATGATATCAAATTTAGTGTTAAAAAAAATCTTGATGGTGAGAAGTAGCATCCTGTTTAATTTAGGCCCTGTGTTTTGAACTTATTTTTATCTTGTGCTCTGGAACAATTAGATGTCCAAGCAATTTTCCCCAGTGGGAAAAATGAGTTTTGCCAAAGAGATAGGGAATTACACCTTACATCTTAAGCTTCCTTATAAAAGGCAGTTTCAAATATCAAGAGCTTTTAGCAGAAATATCACATGCTTGTTCTCAGTCCTGCAGTAAATTTGGTTATGGAAAATTTAATACAGTCTGTGTGGAGAGTCTGGAGATAAGTAAGTGTGTTGTTTCCTCTTGGGTAACTCCAAATTGTTTTCTTTAAACTTGTGATTTAGCAGGTAATCCTCTAGGTGAACCTTGACAATCTGGTTATACTGTAACACCAGGCCCTCTGAAAGTAGCATGTGATTGGCTATCTGCCTCACTGCTTTCAGCTCTGGGCCTAGGGGAAAGAGACATGTGTTAATGATGAATTTTAGTGTGGGGTTTATTTGGATTGAAAGGTAGCCATGAATTGTCATAAGAGATGTTTTGAAGGGGTTTAGGGCCCATTAGTGAGCAGCAGTTTTCGAAAATTTCATTGGTAGAGTTACAACCCCTGGTACCACCTCTCCTGCTTATTTGAAGGGGAAATGCTTATGAAAGATTTAAGATTAACCTGTAGAAGCAGAAAAAAGATTGTCTTCTGAGAGTAGAAAAGAATCTGTCATAGGTAAAGTTTCAAAATCAATGACACTGACTATTTTGTGGTAGAAGAAATTAGATTTTGTTAGAAGTGAGTGGATACAGCATTTATGAATGTAGCTAACAGTTTTGGAGCTACAGTTATATGTAGATGCTGGGCCAATTGCTTCTTTTGTATAATCACATTTTATCCTCTATAACCCTATAAAGTAGGAAGTATTATTTCTCCTGTTACACAAGTGAGAGAATTGAGACTCAGAAAGATAATTATGGAAGACAGAATAGTGGCTTCCCCAAATACACCTACACTGTAATCTCTGGAACCTGTGAATGTATTATCTTACTAGGCAAATGAGATTTTTCAGATGTGATTAAATTAAAGATCTTGGGACTGGGTGTTGGTTATCCTGGCTTATTTGGGTGGCTCTACCTCATCACATAAGTCCTTAAATGGAGGAGCACTATTCCTGGCTGTGGTTAAAGATACAGATGTGATGATGGAAGAAGGGTCGGAGAAATGTGAAATTATGGTTTTGAAGAAAGAAGAAGGGGGCTGTGAGCTGAGAAATGTAGGTATCCTCAAGAAACTGGAAAATACAATGAAATAGATTCTCTTCTAGAGGGTTCAGAAAGTGTTTTAGTCTGTTTAGATTACTAACACAAAATACTTATAAGTGACAGAAATGCATTTCTCACAGTTTTGGAAGATGAAAGACTAAGGTCAGGATACCAGCAGGATTGAGTGAGGGCCACAGACTTCCTGTTATAATCTTATATTGCAGAAGGGCCTACAGAGCTCTGTACGGTTCCATTTATAAGAGCACTAGTCCTATTCATGAGGGCTCTTCCTTTATGACCTAAGCACCTCCAAAAAGTTCCAGTTCCTAATTGCATCACATTAGGATTTCAACATATGAATTTTGGGAGGACACAAACATTCAGATCATAGCAGAAAGGAACAGAGCATTGCAAACATCTTGATTTTATTCCTCTGAGACCCATGTCAGACTTCTGAAGCCTCAGTTATAAGATAATAAATGTGTTGTTTCAAGCCGCTACATTTGTGGTAATTTATTACATTAGAAAATTAAGACAGTAATAACTATTTATATCCATAGAAGACCTGAGAAAGCCTCAGAATCCCTAGCAGGACTGACAAAAGGTATTTCTCTCCCAGAGGCAGTCAGTAAAGATTAGAGGAGGTGACTGCTACTTCAAATGTGAAGACAGCAGCTCAAGACTTCAAGGAACATGAAAAATCAAGGAAATGACACTACAAAAGGATCACAACAATTTTCCAGTAACTAACCTCAAAGATATAAATATCTGCAATTTATCTGATAAAGAAATAAAAATAGCTGTTTTAAGGAAGCTCAATATACTACCAAAAAAAAAAAAAAAAAAAGACACACAGAAAGACAAACAAAATTAAGGAAACAATAGATGAGCAAAATGAGAAGTTTAATAGAGATATAGAAATAATGAAAAGGGACCAAACAGAAATTCTAGAGTCAAAGACTACAATAAATGAAATAAAAAATTCAATCGAGGGCATTGGTAACAGAACAGTAACCTGGTAATGGTAATCTGGTAACAGAACAGATCAAATGTAAAAAGAATTTGCAAAGTAGAAGACAGTAACTTTGAAGTTATGAGAGAACAAAGGGAAAAGAGTGAAAAAGAGTAAAGAAAGCCATGTGAACTATGGATACCATTAAGAGAAACAATCTGTGAATTATTGGAGTCCCAGGAATAGAGGGAGAGAAGGAGACAGAAAACTTATTTTAAAAAATAATGGCTGAGGACTTCCCAAATCTTGGGATAGATATGAACATCCAAGTTTATGAGATTTACTGATCCCTGAACTCAAAGAGATCTTCTCCGAGACATATTATAATAAAACTGGCAAAAATCAATGACAAAGAATTATAAAAGCAGCAAGAGAAAAGAAGCTTGTCACTTACATTGGAATCCACATAAGGCTATCGGTGAGTTTCTCAGGAGAAACCTTAAAATAGGCCAGGAGAGAGTAGGATGATACATTCAAAATGCTAAATGAGAAAAACTGCCAAAAAGAATACTTTATCTAGCCAAGTGGTCCTTCAGAAATGAAAGAGAGATAGAGATTCTCCCAGACGAATAAAAGCTGAGGGCGTTCATTACCACTAGACCTGTCTTGCAAGAAACGCGGAAAGGAGTTCTTCAAGTTAACATGAAAGGATGCTAATTAGTAACATGAAGCCAAAATATACAACACACAGAAAGGAAATATATATTCAAATTCAGAATAATCTACTACTGTAATATTGTGATGTGTTAACCACATAATTCTGGTAAAAAGGTTAAAGGACAAAAGTATTAAAATAACTAAGGGCACCTGGGTGGCTCAGTCAGATGAGTGTCCAACTTTTGATTTCAGCTCAGGTCAAGATCTCATGGTTTGTGGGATGGAGCCCTGCATTGGGCTCTGCGCTGTCAGCGTGGAGCCTGCTTGGGGTTCTCTCCCTCCCTCCCTCCTTCTCTGTCTCCTCTCTCTGCCTCTACCCAGCTCATGCTCTCTCTCTCTTAAAAAAAACATTAAGAAAATAACTATAGCTACAATAATTTGTTAAAGCACACCAATATAAAAGAGGTAAATTGTGACATTAAAAACATAAAAAGGGGGATGAATAGCAGAGTAGAGTTTTTGTGTGTGATCAAAGTTGTATTAAGTATAAAATAGACCGTTACATCTAATAAGATGTTTTATGTAAGCGTCATGGTAACTTCAAAGCAAAACCTACAGTAGATACACAAAAGATAAAGACGATCAAAGCATATCACTATGGAAAATTGTCAATTCACAAAGAAGACAGCAAGAGAAGAAGAAAAGAACAAGGAAACTACAAAACTGCCGGAACCCAGTAAAGTGGCTTTGGTAAGTTCTTATCTATCAATAATTACTCTAAGTGGAAGTGGATTGAATCATCCAGTCAAAAGTCACAGGGCAGCTGGATGGATAAAAAAATAAGACCCAACTGTATGCTGCTAATAACAGCCTAACTTTAGAATTAAGGACACAACTAGCCTCAAAGTGAACAGAAGGAAAAAGATATTTCCATGCAAGTGGCAACCAAAAGAAAGCAGGGGTAACTATACTTATATCAGACAAAAAAGATTTTAAAGACAAAGACAGTAGTAGTAAGAGCAAAAAAAGTCATTTTATGATGATAAATGGGCCAAATTCTCAAGAAGTGATAATAATTGTAAATATATACACCCAACATTGAAACATCTAACCATATTAAGTAAATACTAACAGATCTGACCACAATGCAGTAATACCAAGGGATTTTAATACCCCACCTTCGATAATGGATAGATCATTTAGAGAGGAAATCAGTATGGAAATGTTGGACTTGAACTATACTTTCGATCAAATGGACCAAACAGACATATACAGAACATTCCTTGCCACAACATCTGAATACACATTTTTTAAAGCACGAGATGTCTCCAAGTTAAGGTCATATGTTAGATACCAAACAAGTATTATCATTTAAAAAGATTGAATTTATATCATGTATTTTTTCCGGCCACAGAGATATAAAATCAGAATTCAATATCAGGAAGGACACTGTAAAATTCACAAATATGTGAAGATTAAACAGTACATTCCTCAACAACCAGTAGTTCAAAGATGATATGAAAAATATTGAAAGAAACAAAAATGGAAAAACAATAATACCTAAACTAATAGGATGAAACAAAAGCAATTCTAACAGGAAGGTTCATAGGGATGAATCGAAATATCTCAAATAAACAACCTAGAAAGGAGACTCAAGATAAGGTTAAAATCATGAGCCAGATCAGCCAGGGTTTTTATAGGCCATGCTTATGAGTTTGGATTTTATTCTAGCCACTGTAAGTAGCTATAAAAGAGTTTGTAAAGCAATGACCTGACTTGATTTATGCCCTACAAAAATTTGATATGCAGACAATGAATTGTAGGGGCCAAAAGTTGAGGCAGGGAGACAAAGAGGTCTATAATTCATGACACACACAGTAAAGATACCTACTGCTTCTTTTCAGTCTTGCACAAGTTTAGTGCATGTCTTCTCCTAAAAGACAGTAAGTGTAATCATTGTCTCTAGAAAAACGCAGAGGGGGCTGCATTACAAGGCGTTACCTTTTAGTCCAGATTTCAACTGCCCAAATATGAGCTCCCAAAATGGACATAAATAACAAAGATTTTTGTCAGCCTTGATATCATACTAAAATATACTCTTTCTTCACAGACGTTTGTATTTTATTCCCCCAAATTTGGGGAAAATTTGGTAGATGTGATTTGGGAGCAAGTATTAATCTAATCTGTGCATTGGAAAGCTAACATATGAAGAAATAACTTCTTTAGTATCACAGCTTACATAAGAGTCATTCTGAATATCTTCTTCCGACTCGGTATCATTTATAAAATTTTGGATAAATGGCCAAGTTCATCAGTTATAAAACCATGTCTTGTGTGATATGGATCTAGTATCTCTACATATCTCTGTTACCTCTGAGGATGAACTCACCTTTATATAAGAAGCTCTGTTTTGCCCTAAAGACATTACATGGAATTTAAAAGATGCCAAAAATAGAAGTGAATGCAACTTCTAACTTCATTTTGAATTAAAAAACCATCACTAGTTCAAAACTCGACAATCATGACAAGCTAAGGTTTTATATAGGAGAAAAAGGACTCTAAGAAATTCAAAAGCTAATCATCTTACAACAATAAACACTTATCCACATTGTTTATATGTAGTATTCAGCTTGTTAAGGAGTTTTAAGAGTCTGCATTAGTGTGTAGAGTTAGTGCCGTGTTGGTGAATTAGAGTTGCTAACTACTTGAATTGTCAACTGTGCATTTTGGTTAGATTTTTGCCTTGAATGCTAATGTGGTCTTTTAAGTCTCATTTTGATGAATTTTATTGTTACATTAGATACACTCTGGTTTTTCCAATCAGTCATGTCAGCTTCATCACTGTCAATGTGCTAACCATAATATTAAATATGACCAGAGGTAAACATTATTGAAAGCTTCGCCTGTTACTGCTGTTTTACAGTAGCGTAATTTTGTTTTTTATTTCCTTTGATTTTATGCTGATATGAGTTTCAGCCGTATTTGCCTGCAGCCTCTTTCAACTTTTCCTTTTAATTAAAAAGCCTAATTGGGAGTAATAAAAACTTCCAATTAAGCCTTTTAAATAAAAACTGAAAGCTGAAAGTGGTTGTGGTTGCAGACACAGGCCGGCACTGACACTTTCATTACGGCAGGATTCTATTACCACGGTACAATTTGTGGTTTCCAGGTTTCACTCGAGACCTGTGTTAGGAGAAGTGGACCTTGGGAGGGATACCCAGGCAAGTAATTATACAGTTAAACATTCATGTATTTTGAGGGGGCTTTGTTTTTGAGGCAGAAAGTGGTACTGAAGGGATGCTTAATGATTATTGGGCAGGATTAATTAAGGTTTCAGTAATATCGCACTTCTAATATAAAAACAAGATTTTAGTATTTGAATAAAAAGATAAAATAATCAAGCTTATTTGTTGTTTCCATTTAGTTGTAACATAATATAAAGGTTTTTGACTTGCTTTATTTTCTTTCATTTCCTGCACTAGAGTCATATGCTTAGAAAAAGCCTGCAGTGAACCCTAGGATTACACAATCTATAATTGGACAGATTGGTGCATAATTTGCTGATTTGTGTTTACTCATTGAATAATAAAAGGCTAAAACTGGCTTTTTATACTATTTGAAATGTGTAA